CAAGCCTGACATCGGTCAATGCAGCTAAAGAACCCCGAGGGTGTGTCTGCACCATATCCAGCAACCAAACAATGGCAGCCACTCAGATTAGTGGTAGATGTGGCTGGATAACAATGCCTTTATATATGGTCATTGGCATTGCACACATGTTCTGCATGCCGGGTGTCATTCTCAGTATCTGTTCTTATTCTATATGTATGGACTCTGCAGAGTACCACTTCTCTTGTCCTGTATGCCGGGTGTCATTCTCGGTATCTGTTCTTATTCTATATGTATGGACTCTGCACAGTACCACTTCTCTTGTCCTGTATGCCGGGTGTCATTCCCAGTATCTGTTCTTATTCTGTATGTATGGACTCTGCACAGTACCACTTCTCTTGGACTTGGAGCAATGCAGTATCTGTTCTTATTCTGTATGTATGGACTCGGCACAGTACCACTTCTCTTGGACTTGGAGCAATGCGGGAGCTGAGTTATTGGACTTGGAGCAATGCGGGAGCTGAGTTATTGGACTTGGAGCAATGCTGGAGCTGAGTTATTGGACTTGGAGCAATGCGGGAGCTGAGTTATTGGACTTGGAGCAATGCGGGAGCTGAGTTATTGGACCTGGAGCAATGCTGGAGCTGACTTATTGGACTTGGAGCAATGCTGGAGCCCAGTTACTGGAGATGGAGAGGAGCAGGAGCTGCATTAATGGAACTGAATCAATGCTGGAACAGACCTGGATCCAACATTCTACTTCTCTTTTCAGCGCTTATGTACATGACTGCCATACATTTAAGTTTTACCTGTTGCATGCGCATGTGCTGCAAAGGAATATACTGGGGTTTTGGAGCAGCTGTGGAACCTGAGCTGGGGGTTTTGGAGCAGCTGTGGAACCTGAGCTGGGGGTTTTGGAGCAGCTGTGGAACCTGAGCTGGGGGTTTTGGAGCAGCTGTGGAACCTGAGCTGGGGGTTTTGGAGCAGCTGTGGAACCTGAGCTGGGGGTTTTGGAGCAGCTGTGGAACCTGAGCTGGGGGTTTTGGAGCAGCTGTGGAACCTGAGCTGGGGGTTTTGGAGCAGCTGTGGAACCTGAGCTGGGGGTTTTGGAGCAGCTGTGGAACCTGAGCTGGGGGTTTTGGAGCACCTATGGAACCTGAGCTGGGGTTTTTTTTTGGAGCAGCTGTGGAACCTGAGCTGGGGGTTGTTTTGGAGCAGCTGTGGAACCTGAGCTGGGGGTTTTGGAGCAGCTGTGGAACCTGAGCTGGGGGTTTTGGAGCAGCTGTGGAACCTGAGCTGGGGGTTTTGGAGCAGCTGTGGAACCTGAGCTGGGGGTTTTGGAGCAGCTGTGGAACCTGAGCTGGGGGTTTTGGAGCAGCTGTGGAACCTGAGCTGGGGGTTTTGGAGCACCTATGGAACCTGAGCTGGGGGTTTTGGAGCACCTATGGAACCTGAGCTGGGGGTTTTGGAGCACCTATGGAACCTGAGCTGGGGGTTTTGGAGCACCTATGGAACCTGAGCTGGGGGTTTTGGAGCACCTATGGAACCTGAGCTGGGGGTTTTGGAGCACCTATGGAACCTGAGCTGGGGGTTTTGGAGCACCTATGGAACCTGAGCTGGAGGTTTTGGAGCACCTATGGAACCTGAGTTGGGGGTTTTGGAGCACCTATGGAACCTGAGCTGGGGGTTTTGGAGCACCTATGGAACCTGAGCTGGGGGTTTGAAATAGTTCTTTAACCTGAGTTGGGGGTCTTGGAGCAACTCTGGAGGCAGAAATGGGGGCCTTGGAGGAGCTCAGGGGCCGAAGATGTGCTGAGGGTCTGCTTAGACTCTGGAATAAGCCTGGAAATGGAACTGAACTGCTGGAGCTACTCCGGAGCCTGAACTAGCAAACATACAGCATGGCGAACCCCAGCCTGATGCTTCCTATGTAAATATTTAATTTCATATTATGAAGAATGTAGGGGGCGGAGTAAGGCTCATGCTAGGGTAAAAGACACAGAACCTCTAGTGGAGGGGCCTTGCCTTGGTTGAGTCCTGAGTGGACTGACCCTTTAAAAGAGTAACATTAAAAATAACTTTAACCCACATTTTCATACATTGCTACATCTCAGTTTATTCACAACGTGACATCAATACAGATTATACAAAAATAGGAATAGCAAACACATATACTGTATATACACATCTAGAAATTTTCCCAGAATCCTCTGTGCTAGAGGAGCCAGTCAGGGTGGCCGTGTCCCTTCATTCAGTCTCAGTGTGTATAGATCACCTCCCCATTCCCTCTTCACTGCACACGAGAGGTTAACGGGTGCTCAGTAAGAATGGCAGCAGGTGACCCGGTCCAAAGGAAAAAGGAACCAGCCTTTTTTTATGGGCGGAGTTATGGGTGGTGGGAGGAGGGGCTTCTTATGGGTCAGCCGGTAAATTCAGAGATTCTCAATCTGCACAAGAAAAGAAAGAAATGAAACATTTGATATGAAATACGTCTAATAAAATATAATTAGAAATGTGGTCCAGATATTTCCAAAGCCACAGGCTGCCATTGTGTCTGCAGAGTGTTGTAGCCCTGTGTACTGTAGATCCAATACGATTCTATAAACGCCCATTCATGTGGTATATTCTATAGTACAGTGATGGCGAACCTTGGCACTCCAGCTGTTTTGGAACTACAAGTCCCATGAGGCATTGCAAGGCTCTGACAGCCACAGACAAAACTCCCAGAGGCAGATGCATCTTGGGATTTGTAGTTTTGGCACAGCTGGAGTGCCAAGGTTCGCCACCACTGCTATAGTACATTGTTACATTGTATCATATTTTATTATATCTTTCATTCTGCTATGTCAAGTTGTTTTATTGGGTTCTCAATTCTCATGCATTTGCTACTTCAGCTGATTGTTATGTTGTTCTGTTTAGTTGTTGTACATTTCCTGATATGTTCACTTATGTTAGTTTAGGTTTTATACTGTTATATTCGCTGACTTTATGTTATATGTTACGTTCCTTTATGTCATGTTATGTTCAGTGAAATTTTACTTTTGTATGTTATGTTCATTTACGTTGTTTTGTTAAGTTGCGTTATGTTTAGTTATGTTATGTTCAGTTATTGTAAGTTACGGTTCATTATTTTATCTTATGTTCAAGTACGTTATGTTTTATGCTGTATTCACTTACGTTGCTTTATGTTTAGTTATGTTAAGTTAAGTTTAGTTACTTTGAGTTACTACAGTATGTGTATTTTTATATCCAATTACATTATGATATGCTCATTTATGTTACTTTACATTATGTTCACTTGTGTTACATTATGATATGTTCATTTACTGTATGTTACAGTTACAGTTATACTACCTTATGTACAGCGTCATATGTTTTTTTTTTTATGTTGCAGGACTGAGGACTCAGTGAAAGTGTGGACTCTGATGTGAAGAGGGGTGCCTGATATTATGGGGGCTTCTGATGTGATGGGGGACTCTATGTCAAAGGGAGACTCTGATGTGAAGGGAGGAGTTTGAGTGAAAGGGAGGACTCTGATGTGAAGGGGGCTCCTGGTGTAAGCGGGCACTCTGATGTGAAGGGGAGCGTCTGATGGAAAGGGGGGGGGGGGGTTGG